GAGTTCTTCTTCTTCCTCTAATAAGTCCACCATCTCTTCTTCCCCTCTCACCACCTGACTTCTCAGTATCAGCGGACTACTACAGAGAGAGAGAGTTGTGACTTGAGACTTGACGACATTGGATCCAGACTCAGCATTGGGATTCAGACATTTTGACGAGGGACTATTTGGGCCTGTGCCGAAGACTTGGTGTTGACGACATTCCCATCTTCCCCTCTTCTTCGTCTAACCCCCCTCTTCTTCGTCTGTGTCTGGTTGGGGCTGGCGCATTCTTCCTGTGTGATCGCCAGACCCCTTCACACCATGGGATGATGATGATGATGTATGTTCGGGGCTGCATTGCAATATTGTGCAATGACTTGCTGTTTCCGTGCTGCCTGTAGCCTCACTCTGACGAGGCTGTACCATAGTCAGGGGTAGATTCATAATTTTGTTTGGCTGAGGACTAACCGGGAGACCTGCCTGCAGGGAAAATTCGTGAGGGACATATTTGTAAATATAGAAATATGGGCCCAGTACTATTCCGATTTTCCTACAGCTACCCTAACTGCGAATAGCGGACCCGGGCTACCCCTAGGACAGACAGGCCCTACGGGCCTATGCTGATAGACGGTCCTATAGCCTATAGCCGGGTAGGGAGAGGCCCAAAGGCCGAAACGAAAACGGTACCGGTCGGTCAATCAGCCCGGTCTAGGTCGGTCTAGGCTAGCGTAGAGTATAGGTAGGATGGGGACACCGGTCCAGGGCTTTTGGCAGTTGACACTTCGTGGTGGAAGTTGCTGCGCACCCGGTATCGGTTCGTGGTTGCTGATTCCGGTGTGGACACGGCGGATGTAGCCAGACCTTCGGAGTGTTGACCAGACTGGGGTCAACGCTGTCCGCTCTGACTCTCTGAGAGTCATAGCGGTCTGGGCTATCTGAGGTCTGATGCGTTGGAGCACGTGGTGCACTGCTGACCCTCCTCAGGAGTAGGGTCCCAGTGGCGATGCATCCATAGCTGCATCTTCTCAGAGATATCATCGTCTGGACTTCATCTTCGTCAGGGACTGTTAGCGCTGGGCTTCTTCTTCATCATCTGGATGGCGATTGGCTCTGGGAGCCTGTTTCACTTTGGCGCAGGCCACTGAGTTGCATGTCAGGGTGGCGCTGGGTGTTACCTGGGGTTTCGGTGCTATTTCCGGCTGTTCAGGGTGTTGGGGTTGAGGCGCTACCCCTCTAAGGGTAGCGCAACAGGGTTCTGAGGTTATTCAGTGAAAACGGTGCTCTGAGTTTTATAAACAGTTTTAATACTGTGTTTGAGTTATCATCTCTTCATTGCTTTCTGGCTGTGATCACTCGGTTGTCTTCTATGAATGATTGTTGGGAATTGTGTGGAGAGAATTCACTGTCTGTGTCTTCTGTCACTTCGCTCCCCTGAGTCTTCCGCTGCGTTTCTTTGAGTTGGGCGGTGTGGTACTCCACTACCTCTCCCCTTCCTTCTGTGCATGTATGGGCGTGTACGGGAGTTCCAGTGAGTGAGTGCTGATAAAATTTCGGCAGACAATCATGTTCATAACAATTGATTGTTCGGATCATTGGTATCTAAGTTTTCCGCTGCGCTATCTTGTACTTTGTGAGAGAGGTCGGTTCTTGTTCTCGTCTGCACCGTTACAGTATGCAACAGTTTGGTATCGGAGCGGACCTCTCATTCAGAGGACCCGCTCAATCAAGTAGCCAGTTTGCTTGATCTATTGATCACTCATTAGTAAATCAAGTAGGACTTCGTCAAATCTCTGAAAAAAAAATTCTCGCAACAAATATCTGAAAATTTCTGATAATCGCATTTCGTTTTACCTGAAAATTTTTTATATTGGTATTTCGTTTTCACGCAACAAATATCTGAAAATTTCTGATAACCGCATTTCGTTTATCTGAAAATTCCTGATAGTAGCATTTCGTTTCTCTGATATTTGCATACATAGCTGGAAATTTCTGATGTTAACATTTCGTTTCTAGGCATATTAGGATAACGATAGAAGTGGTCATATTCTCGGAAAGCGGATTTATTCTTGTCTGAAAATCGAATCTCCATTCTATCTCGCAAAATTTTTTGGAAAACCGAAATCTTGCGAAACCTATCAGCATTTCGTTTTAGGCATATTAGGAGGTTGCCATATTCTCAGAAACTGGATTTAGTTCTTTTCTGAAAATCGCATCTCTACTCTATTTAAGATCACATTTTTGTGAAAACCGAAACTTTGCGGAACCTAGCCTAGATCTGGCTCATAGTGCTCTTCTGACATGCCTCACTCATAACAGATCGACAGATATACAAAAAAAAAAAAGGTAGTCCTCTTTTTTTATTTATATTTTATTTGATCTTTTGATTAGGGCCGAGAGGAAAGTATTGTTGGGTGGGTTACCTACCTGTGCTTTCCCTCCCACCCACCCCTTTTGCATGCATTCCCGGTTTGGTACAGTGCCATGTCAGCAGCAGTGCCACGTCAGCAGTGCCATGTCAGCAGTGCCATGTCAGCAACAGTGCCACGTCAGCAGTGCCACGTCAACAACAGTGCCACATCAGCAACAGTGCCACGTCAGCAGTACCACATCAGCAGTGCCACGTCAGCAGTGCCCCGCCACCATGACGGGCTCAGTTTTGGGCATGCCAGGCCAACTGGCAAATGAGTCCATTGCCGAGTACCGACAACGTTTCGAAACTCAGCTCCCACTAATCGCGGCTGAGGAACAGCGCCAGCTGGCAGCCGAGGTTGTCCGCCTACAGACTGAAGCGGCGGCAACAGCTGAGAAGCACGGCTTCAGGCCGAAGCAGACGCAGATACCCAGGCACGCCGCAAGGAAGCCCAGGATCTGCTATAGCGGAATGAAGGCACCAACATCGAAAAGCTCAAGTTCTGGCACTTTGAACCATCCGAAGGGCACAACGACGCGACACCGGAAGAGCAGCACAAAGAATTCATGGCCAAACTCTTGACCAGGTTGGTTTACACTTGTAACCACCTGCGGTCCGAGCTGGCGAACCTCCAGCGGGCCGTACGGAACCACAAGGCTCAGCACGAGGATGCAGCACGGGCACTTGATTCCCGTGTACAGGACTTGGAGCAAACTGCACCAAGACCGGAGGCTGGCGAGTCCAGCAGTGCACCCTCTGCCCGCCAACTGGAGGAACGAGTTGACCACGTAGTCACAATGCTCGGCAACATCAGTACCTTCGCAGCACCAGCCACCATCAGCAACCAGTTGGACACCTTGAAGACCGAGGTTCAGCAATTGCAGCTGCCTAACAAGGATGGAAACACCACGCAGCACTACAAGATGCCGACATTCCAAATCGAGAAATTCGATGATTATACGCATCAAGACCCGGTCCTCTGGTGGGAGGGCTTTACAACGCAACTTCGGATTCTGTTCGTCGCCAAGCACGCGTACATCGGCGGGTTGTTCCTCAACTCAAAGGGCGGATGCCAAATCTGGTTGAGCCACCTGGCAACCGTCCACGGCGTCAACGTCGCAGATCTGAAAGATAAGATCTCTTGGGAAGAGTTAACACGGCTATGGAAGAAGCGGTTCATCGTGGACGACGCCCCGGCACTCGCCATCAACCGCCTCTTCGCTATGACGCAAGGCAACACAGCAACACACGACTGGCTCACGGAATGGCAAAAGATCGCGGCAACGCGCGATCTAGAATTTCCATTTTCGCATCTGCACCGAGAGTTCTACAACCGGTCATGTGCCACCTTGAGCCTTGCACTTGGTGATCGCGAGCAATACGCAACCTTCGCTGAAATCATCGACAAGGCAAGGGAGATTATCAAGACCAATAGGGAAGCTGCACATGAGAAATCAGCATGGCAGCCAACCTATGTGGAGAAGGTGAGAACTAGTCCGCGACCGCAGCATGTCACTGCAGTCCAATCGGACAACATTGTGGAAGACCCGGCAGCCACCCAAGCGTAACGTGAGGGAGATCAGGTGGCTGCTGTCCAGCCACGAAGCAACAACAAGTCGCGAGGAAACGGGAAGGCGAAAACCGCATCGCCGGCCGAAAACGGACAACCAACACCACGGGTCAAGTTTCACTTGACCGAGGCGGAATACAAGTGGCGCGGCCGCTACGGCTGCTGCTATTGGTGCAACAACACCAAGCACAAGACCTCCCAATACCCGGATCAAGGCAAGGAGGATGTTCGGCCTCGTATCAACTCGGGAAACTGAGTTCCGCGGGAGGTGAGGCGACTCCACCTCTCACTCCGCCAGATTCGGCCGCCTTGCTAGCGGCCTCCTACACGTCTGGGGAGGATGCGAATGTCGCAAGTCCTCGGTACACTTACGAGGACTATGCTGTCCACTTGGTCCCACCGTTGGACCAACCGCTCCACGTGCAAGAATCTACTGCACGGTTTCATCACCATCGACAACCGATTCGGCAGCTTCGCCGCCATCTATCGCCGGGGATTCAAAGTCGTGGTCAAGACTTGAAGAGCTCGACCCGTTGACGTTTGCGGACTTCCAATGGATGCCCCTTCCCCGGTCCGGTCGATTGCCGAAACCGCATTGCAACGTGCTCATGGCACAATTGCGGGATTACTTGCACACTGCAGTACCAACTCCGTTGATGGATGCCGGAGTAGAGGTTATCGACCTTCACGACTACATTGCGAAGATCGACCACGAGTTCAAGACACAACGGTACGAAGACATCGACGCACGTTTGTTATATGTACGCATTCAGATCGGGGAGGCGACCTGCAGCGCTTTGATCCATTGCGGAGCATCTCGCAACTACATGAGCCAGAACTTTATGGTACGCGCCGGCCTTGGCCCACGCGTCCGGAGGAAGTCCCAGCCTACGCAAGTCACGTTGGCAGACGGTCACACGCGCAAGTCAATCGACCGGTGCATAGATGACATCCCTGTGTACTTTGCCCCGCATGCAAGCGAGGCGGTGTCCTTCGTCAAGTCATCTTTACGTCATCATTTAGAGGAAGGAGAAGCCGTAACAAGATTTCCGTAGGTGAACCTCCGGAAGGACCATCGACACGTGGACGGCCGACCTCCTGCCACATCACCGCCTCCTTCCCCCTCTGACTCCCCTCTTTTTCCCCCCGGTTCTGCTGCCATCTCCCGATCTCCCCCATTGCTGCCCACCCCGT